CTTAAAATATCTGCGGTGTTAACCAATTAATGCACCCATTACTCTATGCTGGTTCCCCTAATCCGAAATGACTAAGCTCATGTCCCAGAGTTGTTAATTTTATCCTATAAATTTCCCTGAATTAGTGTCCTTGATTATGTGATAGGAAATGGCGTCCTTTTTAGATACTGTAACTAACCGGTACCGAAATTGGCGACAGAACAAACTTCTAGAGTAGCAAATTAAAGAGGTGGCTAGCGACCTGGATTAGCAGTCTAGTTATTGTCTCAGAAGTTAACTTTTATTCTTGATATTTTATCATCAATTGATTTTCAGTTGAAATCGAATGTACGATGTTGATGCCTATCCGAAAATAAAACCTACTCAAATTTCTACCTTAGTTTTTAATAAAAAAGCCAATGTTGTTAATTTTATTATATTCATAAATTTGGTTGCGAAAATCCTTTTGGTCTTGAGTTGGCTATTTTTGTTTCCATGAGGGTAATTACAGCATTTATCAACTCCGCGAACATGAAAGCAAATTGGGATCTAGTCCAACTGTAATGATCGCTATTAAGTTGTTGGTTTTTTTGCCTTTTTTATTTTGAAATAGATGGCGTCAAGCTGCATATGATCCTTGTTTTCTATTATGAACGGTGATATGTTGCAATGTTTTCAAGCGTTATGCATGGGAAAGTATATTTAACAGTATTTTTTTGTAAATGCACCTCAAGTGCTGGCCGAAGGCGATATTAATTTTGCTTGGGTGGCCTTGGTCTCGACATATCATATGTCTCACCGATTTTGAAACTTTTACTTAAATTAGTATTATAGGCTTTAAAGAAATGCCATGCATTCTTTTTAAATTCTAGTAAGTCCACATATAAAGTAGATTGTGACAAACTATGTATTTAAGTTACTTTTACATCTTTGTACACTCGATGCAAACGCGTAGTTTTCACACGGCACAATTCCTGCTATCCACTCTTTTCTTTCTCTCCATGAGAGACTATTCCATCGATAACTTCCTTTGGAGCAGTCTTACTGGCTTACCCTTGCATGCATACGTCTTATAACCACCACAAAAATCATCCTCTTTAATATTTTTTTCATTAATCTAATGCACCTTTGCACTTCGATCAGTTTCAAACATGTTTCGAAAACACTTTATGCAATAAATGCCATCCTTTGAAATTTCTCTCCCCGCGTACTTTGCCCTATTTTATACAAAGCCGTATTTTGGTGATTGCTCTTTGTTTGAATATTAATTAAACCTCCCCACTCTTCTCCTTTTAAAGCACATTGACCAAGTTGATATTTTGGCAATTGGTCTAATTATTTGGTCTTTTACTGATTCTAATCTTCTAGTTAGTATTTAATTTACACTCGCGTCAATTTTGCTTATCTGACTATCACCAAAGTGCACAATTTTTCCCCTTCGACAATTTAAGATTGTCCCTAATCCCCCCCCCCAAATTCCAGTATGGCTCAAAAATAAAAAAACGCAATGACTTTTCTGAAGCTTTATGTGCCAAAATCGTTCCACTATTTATTTATACAAGTCTATACACCAAAATTTTAGCCCCTACTTGATGAAATATCGCGATTTCTGATTTTAATATTACCCATTGGCTCTGAAATTATGCCGACAAGTGACATTTGCGAGTTTTCCGTTCTGCATGTACAACTCCCCACCCCCACCCCCACCTCCCCTTCCCCCACTCTTACGATAATTGCCTTATTGAAGCGTGTATCAAACGCGGTAAACCATTCCTTGTTTATCTTGGTAAATTTTTTTTACCTTTGAAGGACATCTTAGGACAATACAGTCCTTAGTCTTTTAGACATTACTGACTATCTTGTGGTTATTTCATTTACAAAATTTGAATAGGAGATTGCATCGTTTGGTTTGCCATTTTCTTCTGGAAGGATATGTTGCATTAGCACCCTATGTTCACAATGTATTAATGCTAAATATTGATTATCATTATAATTTGAGTATTTTTTTTGTTTTTTGTAAATGTCTTGTTAGTGTTTTCTAACCTCATTTGACTCTGTTACAACTTTTCTGATTAATTTGCCCCGCATGCCGTGTCTCCTATAAGCTGTCTTTGCTTCAATCACTTTTACTTAACTAACATTCTATCTTTCTTTGCCTCCTCCTCCGCAGTAGTAGTACAGTCGTAACTTCTTCTTTGTCATTTTGCTCCAACTTGAAACTTTTTTTATAACTTGCTTCATCCTCTCTCTTGAACCACCCAAGGCTTCAATCAAGATACATTTTAATAAGGAATTTCATTTGTTTTCAGTTCTGAGTATCCTTAATTGCATTTCCGATCTGAGAGGGGGGGGGGAGAGCATTGCTAAAATGAAATTAATAAATTTTACTCATTTGATATTACTTTAGGGCATATGCACATTCATTTAAAGTGAGTGTGTAGTAATCCCATTCGAGAACGTCGCGGCTAACCAAGTCTCCTCTCTTTCATTAAATAATTGATATAATCTGAGCAAATACACTACAAACATTGAGGTCAAACAATGTAACATTAGAACAGTTTCTCTATTGAGCTTATATTCAAGTGGCAATATTATCTCCTACCTTTACTTGTAAATAGTTTCTTAACGTCTGTTCGGCTATCCTCTTTTTTCACCTCAACAACGGTGGATTTTATTGACTGCTCGCCTAATTCAATTATTGTTCTATTCACTGAGTAGTTCTTTCCGACATACTGCAACTTTGAAATAGTAGAATTCGTAACCTCTAGTGAGTATAAAAGCTTGAAAAAATCTTTTATACCCTACGAATTATGGGCGGTTATCTGCTAAAGTGAAAGGTGTTACCAAAATGGGTTTCTGTGATGATGGGCTGTCGATTTATTTTTCCCTGACAGCGTGTAGGTCCAAAGGGGTGAAACATTCATTTCACTTTGCCGACATCTGCTTCTTCATTAGCCCAATTTTAAATTAAATTTGATCAATCATTGTAAGTGCAGACATTTTATTTTTTTTTCGGAAGAAACTTTTCCACTCAAATATTTCATTACTAAAAGTATTCTTAAATCTCATTCGTTAGACTCTCTCTCTCTCTCATTTCTCTGCCTCATTCCCCTATCATTTGCAATTTAATATTTTGTGCTCGCAATTCGTACTATAACAATTATAACCCGGCTATTGATCACCAATTTTTTTTAGCTATTAGACGAAATCGGAATGCCTTTTTGACTACTTACTTTCTTGCAAGCTATATTACTTCATAAGCTCTAAATTTTGTGGATATGAAAATACCTGCAGTGGCATCTTCACTCCGAACTTAATCTTGTTCAATACTGAGGTGTGTTGCAATGTACTGCATCCATTAATTAAATAGGAGATAAAGTAACGAGCCATTGAAGTAGAGTTAAAATCGTTTATTGAATTTTATTCCATTCTTCAAAAAGATTGAATTATTGGTTATGATTTAGTTAATTCGTTCTACGGTTGCTATGGTTATGCCGCTCAATACCTGTGCTAATTCGTGAGTCATAGAATAATATCATCTTGATTATTTGCTTTTTATGAATTATGTTCAAAGCTTTCGCGATCAGTATAACGAATCATCCATAATTCATCATTATGTGCATATGTTGTAGGGAATGGTCACAAAGTCAGTCTTTGTCTTTTTAACCAGCGTCGCATTTTTTATTTTTTGTCAATCAAAAATACTCTTCTTCCACATCCCTTGTGAAGGATTTTCGTTAAATTTGTGGTACCAATTATCTCTTACGATCTTATGAGAAACATGGGTAATTGTGACCATAAGGGAATATCCTAGCTTAGTTCAAGGGATTCAAAGTTGAACATTCCATCATTTAAGGTTTTTCAACAATGTGCAAGTGTTGTCAACTGAATCAATTTTTTTACGATCAATTAAACAACTTAATAGCTTTCATTCGGCACCTTTACGAAGGTAAAATCTGCCCTTTTGCAAAACCGATTTTTCCCACCTCAAATTAACAGTTCAATTTCTGTTTTTTGTTAAAAAACTATTATTTTTATTCTTTTTTGCTTTATTGCCAATAAAAGTTTACATTTTCAACTTTTATTTAGCTTCAAATTTATTTTTATTATTATTTTGAATTCTGAATTTGGCCATAAGTGAATTCCAGTGGGCTCTCAAATATGTTAAAGTCCTGCTAATCTGTATCAACTTTCCCTTTTGGCAGCTAGAAGAAGTATCGTTAAATTGTGCCAATTATCTATATTTCTGACTTTTTCAACTCGCGTGCATTATCATTTTTCTTAAAAACGCATAAATTTCTGCTTGGGGGGGGGGGGAGGGGTTTGAATTCCGGGATATGGGAATGAGGTTCATAAAAATAACTTCTATCAGTTAGTTTTTAATTAAAATTGTGATACGTAAAGGCGTAAAATTCTAATGACAAAGAGCTTCCAAACGCAACTGGATTAATTTATATATTTTTATTTTAAGACTGAAACCCCTCCCTTCCATAGCTCTCTCTTCTGCTCCATTAGTAAGTACACTTTTGAGAGCTTCGTGTCCTCTTACCAAATCATGTTTTATTACAGGCTGTCATACAAATACTACTATTTTATGATACGTTCTAAAACTTATTGAACACGGACAAAAACAAAGACCTTTGTTACGTAAGACGCTTCCTGGTAAAAATTATTTTAATCATATGCTCTCCACCCAATGATGTCCCTTTGACATGACACGACTATCCTAATCTCTAATGCTACTGACGCGTAAAAATTTCAATCTCCTTTTTCTCGAGTATTTACAAGGAAATAAAATTGAACTAATACTGGCAGAAAAAATCATTCATTTAACAAAAAGCTTCACTAGGAACATTTCGAAAATTAGGTCAAATCAGTATCTTTGAACGAACATCTGGATATGAAATAAAGGAGATCATCGCCGTCATCATTTGTGCAAATAATACAAATTTTCTCTTCTGATTTCTTTGAATGAAAATAAAGCAAGGCATTTTTACAAAGTTTCTGCGTCTCTCAATCTATTAGATGTTATTGACCAGAATCGTTTCCACCGGTTGTTCAACTTTGCGAATTTCTCTCAAGTTGTCGTCACCGCCCTTCTTTCCTCGTCTGCATATTCTATAGATCAGGTCTTCCATAATTAATTCTTGAAAACTTTTTCTGAACTGTGCAGACATGGCGCAGTAAAGAATGAAATTAGTGGAGGCATTCAGTAGAACAAGAATGTCTATTAGATCACCAATTGGCGCATAGACTTTATAGGTGAAGCATTCATCTGCTATGGCAGTCATTGTGATTAATACACCTTGGGGGGCTTCTGTAATCACAAAGCTCACTACGACTGCTACTAGCATCACCGTAGTTCGATGATTACCCCTTGATTCGCGTTTCTTCTGTGCCACGTATTGCTGATCGTTATTTTCATATGCGTCGTCATCTAACTTATCATTCTTCCTGTCTTTTCTTGCACTCTGTGGCCTGTGTTTCAGTTTCATATACCGTATTCTAGCCTTCTCCATAGCGATGAGGATTAGCGCAGTGAAGAAGGTGATTAAAATGCTTGAGGCGAGTTTACTGAAACAACCATAGATGATAAAATTGGCACGTTCGAGGTTGTCAAGACCCTCTCCCACTCCAAACCAAAAGTAATCTTCTGTACCATCTGATTGAAGTGTGGATGAGTCAATTTTTCCTACACGTTCCGTTGAAATACATAGTATAAACATAGCAGCACTGAGCATACTCGCAATGATGATCGTCACCTTAATGTGCTTGTAGAGAACTTGGCACTGTGGACGATAGAGAACCCAGCTGCGGAAGATGGCCAGCATCACAGTCATAATAGTGGAAGCAATGTGAGCAGCAATTGTGGTGAAGTTAGTGAAAAGGAGAAAGTAAATTCCTGCTTGACCATGAGGTGCGGTTTTAGGATCGGGACTAGTGACAAAATGTAGGTAGATATCTCTGCCACCATAACCAAGCATCGTAATCGAGTCTGCTATAGCAATGGAAGTGAGAAGAAGGTTAGTAGGGCTTCGCATCCGACTATATGTGAGTACAACCGCGTTGAGGGCATTGGTAAAAATTCCAAGTAGGCAAATACTCAAGGAAAGGTAGGCATGAATGGTCTTGTAGTGTTGATCAAATGTGTGCAATCCGGGGTAATCTGTGCAGTCTGAGAGATCGGGATCAGGAGGAAAGTTTATAGTTTCGTTTGACATTGTACGGACTTAATGAATGACTGAACTTGATCGCCCTCTTCAAACTGGGAATTTCGTTTATTTAATTGTCCTGTGATTGGCCTGTCCCTTCCTCTTCATTGATTGGCCCTCTGTCATCCTACGAATCGGGCAGAGGCTTAATTTTACTGTGCTTCATTTGTTACTGAATTTGCCATAATAGCGTGTATTTTAAATTAATGGAAATTTAATTGCATATTTCTTGGCTCTATTTTTATTTTGAGCTGAGAATGTCTACCATATTTTTGACATTGACGTGTTCTTTATATTGATCAAAGTAATTTACCTATAGTTCTAGGATTTTCGCACTTTCTTTTGTAATTATTATTTTTTGCGGATTTTGCTTTTTGGTAAAATGTGATTATTTAGTCTTTCTTTGCTCATTTGATTTTTTTTTATTAATACGCATCAACGCACAAAAAAATAATTATTAATTTTTGAATGGAGTAAAATCGATTAGCAGAAATTTTAAGCAATAGCACGTTCCTAGAAGTCTTACATTGGTTAAATTCGAATGGTGTGGTGATTTGATTACTCCAAACATTCTTGTTAGCAGCTTCAATAAAGGAAATAGTAGGAGGCGCTAACCTCATGCTATAACAATTTAACTAAACTACTAATTTAGGGCATTTAAAAATCGGCCAAAGTCTTGCAAGTTGTTGTTTGTTTGTGGGGCGAGAACGTCATCGGCTGTTACAAAGCTATTTCTCTCCATTAAAGTCATGTTGCAGTTGCTGAGTAAGTCTAATTTAAAAATTGCCACTGGTTTTCTGTTGGGGTTTGTGGCTGTTATTCGAGATGGCGAACTTCCTTTTGCTGGCATCAATTAAATCTTGTAATGTGATGAAAAGATTTTTCAGTAATTTTAAGAAATCGCATACTGACATCAGCATAGCAGCAATCTCACAGATCACAAATGAATTAAACTAATTGGAGTTATTTTCTTAAAATAAAGAGGTAACCTATTTGTTCAAAATCAGTTTATGTAGAGTACCTTGAGTAATTATCTCAACAAATTCAGCGAAGAAGGTGCTCTCAGAGAACTATGATTCAATTTGCGGAAAGAGAGATGAGAACAGGTCAAAGTATAGTGATAAGAACTCTGTCCCCAAGGTTCTGTTGTACTAAATGAAATAAAATTGCAGCACATTTAACATATTTCAATGTTTATTAGAGACTAATGTTGCTTACCGCCTTTCGCGTTGCTGCTCCTTGGTGTTGTTGCTGTTTCGGCACATCTTCCTTAGGCACAGCACTCGTTAAAGTGTCAAAGTATTCAACAAAGCTCCGATCTATAGAGACCCAGTTTCGCCAAAATGTTAACCAAGTTGAGGTAGCAATTTCGGAGTTGGCAGTGAGAACTGCAAGCTCTGCATTGCTTAACAGATATTTCCAGGTCTCAGGAAAGGGATATGAACAATTATAACTTTTTTATTAATCTGTCATTAATTAAATTCACCTACTCTTAACTATAAAGGGCGGTATTTAATTAAACCAAAGTGCATAAACTACCTACGAAATGCTGCATGTTGTGTCGCTAATCTCACCCGTGAATCTGGGAGTTGTGGAATTAATCTAGAACTTTATTGTTTGGCAGAGTGGAGTCTTCGCCTGCGAGTATGGAAAATTCATTTCTTCCATCAGTTCAAGTGAATCAAGCTCCTTTTTCTTACCCTCTCCCCAGTTTCACATCTTTCTGGACTAGTTCGTGTTATTCTGTGCAATGGGAATTTTAACAATAATAGGATTACACAAGATAGAAACATTGCTGATAAGTTTTCTTTCTGTGCAAACTCATTTTTGGGACACTTTCCATTGTTCTATATTGATTAGGGAAATTTTTTATTATTTTTTTTCCAATGGGCTTGGCAATTGTTATTCCGTACTCTTGGAGTAATTGAAATTAATTGCTTCAATGGATATAAATGAATGATAGAGAGAGTAGGCTAGAATGAGCTACTGAGTTTGCGCAGCGAAATGGCTGAAAGAAAACATTTCAATCATGTGAGAGAGAGTGAGAGTTTCTTTTGTTCGAAATGGGCAATAGATTGGAATGTAGTGTTGTAGCTAAACAAATTTAGACTATTCTATCCTCGATTAAGACGCTCATTGTTCTCACGCTACATTAGAGACTGACAGCAGTAACGCATATAACAAATCATGAAAGAAATTGAGTGGTGAAAATGTACGGATGTTTTAGCACATATTTTTCTTCTCTCTTTAGTCCTAATTGCCTTTAGAACTTTAATTTCCGATTGTACACCTTCCGACAGTTCTGGAGGTTATTCCATCCTTATTGATTTATTGCTACGCTTCGTATTTTTGGTCTTTTATTTAAATAACAAATTCCAGCACTCTTGTTATTTAGTAATATGAAGAAAATAGGTCTACATGTCCAAATATTTTTGAAATAGGTGTACTGACTGAATTTCAAATTTATATAGAAAACATAGCTAATTGAATTCACTGAGTTATTTGCTTTTATTGGTATTTATGAAATCTCAATATGTTTATTTATTTAATGACTGGTGCAAACAGTGTAGTTTTTGCATTGGAACTTTTGTCTTAAATTTCTCAAAACCGTGCAATTTTGGGTTGAATTTGCCGATATGTGTGTGTCACCGAAAAATTAAGCAATCAGAAAGTCAGGACCCATCAGTCACTGTTGAATCTTAGCGTTTAAATCACTTACAAAATTTATTGTTCTCGAATTGTCGCCAATGTTCCTCCCACAATTACTTTCTCTCTAGAACTGATGAGCAGACTTGGTCTTTTTTCATAACATTTTACTACGTTTTACGCAAAAATATTGTAGCAGTAATGTTGGTAATGTTGGTCTCCCTCTATGCTTTTCCTATTGCAGCGTTCGATTTCGCTTTTAACTTGCTTTTGTTCTGTTTTACCCGAACTTAATATTAGGGCGAGATGAAGATTTTTTATTCAAAGTTTTCAATTAATGGTTTTGTGAAATTTAAACAGTTTGATAAATGTGCAAATTTATGCAAATCTAACAATAAAATGATTATTTTTTGCCTTGGTAAAAGTTGTTCATTATAATCCAATGATTGCTTCTTTATAGGTTTGCAAGGCCTCTCACACTGAGTTGCGGCAGCTCGCAGTAGACGCAATTATACTACTTATAAAACGAGTTATAATCGTCAAAACTACGGCCAACTCATTTTGGGGCAATAATGTGAGTTTTCTGCTTGTTTTCTTTAGTGACACTCTAAATTTCAAACACGTTCAGTCGTTAAATTTATCGTATTTAGGATTTGACAAACCTCGTACTGAGTCCCCTGACCCAGCTGACCGATATTAAATTCAACGATGTTCAAGAGAAGCAATTACAGTGTGTTCAATATCTCCTCCACTGCTATGGCGATGCAATCAATGGTAGCTGGCTTCGACTTATCAATATCATTGGAGCTATTGGGCAATCCCAGAGGTGAGATAGTCTACAACCTTGCCATAATAAAGTAATATACTCAGGCAAAATGAATGGAGAATAACGCCCGATGATGCAACCGTAGTGGGCGTAATCATTAGAGAATCATCCGAAAATGAACTTCTTTCTTGGGGTTCGAAGGTGCAATTCTACCATTCTATGGCTCTTCTTCCCCAAGAATGGACTCTACAGTACTTAAATCTTAATGCTTCTACGTAAAAATGGTTAAAAGTAGAAACAGTGGCTTAAATAATTCCAAGTGAACGAGAATAATCTGAATAGGCCCCCACTATTTTCTCATTTTCTACTCTCGAACTAACTTCTCCGTCTTCCACTGACTTGCCTCCTTTTATTTTTGCTTACTCATTTGTTCATTCTTATTTTGCAAATTTTAATTACTTGTTTAATTTGACTGTCGATTTGCCTTGTTTGTAGCGAAAAACACATTCGCTCAGCGTTCCAGTGTTTCCAACTCGTGGTTACCGACTACTTACCCATCTTAAATTCCGACTGCTATCCGGCCTGTGTGGACACTGCTGCCAAGTTTGGCCATCAAGAACACGATCTCAATATCTCCCTTGCAGCAATTGGCTCTTTGGTAAGTCAAATTATGTGAAATCTCACTAGTATCCAGTTCGAAGTGCGTAAAAGTGCACACACTTATTATTGGATCGAGTAGAGGGTGGGTTACAACTTACTCAATTTCTTACTTCTGACAAAGTGTGCTCAATAGCTTAAAGGTACCTAATATTTGCCACAAATGGTTGATTGCGGTTAACATATAAGTGTTTTTTTTCTTTTTTATATAATGCAATCCCTTAAAACCGAGTCTAAGTAGTGCTGATTTGTTTGTCAGCTCCCATCAACTTGTAAAGTTGTGCATTTGTGTTTTTAACTGAACTACTTTGTCACTGACAGTGTCATTTGTTTTAACAAAAAATGTTTATTAACCCTGAGACAATTCACTGCTGCTGAATATATATTTATACAAATATATACATATACATTCATTGGATGTTTTAAGAAATGTCTCCGTTTTTTTGGCAACGCTCTGTTGACTAATATAAAAACGCATGAATGACCTTACCCATCATAGTTCAGTAGGGAGTTTTTGATTGTCATTATGTTAGTTACCATTGCCTCAATCCTCCTTCAACATTGTTATTATAAGTTAAATCTATTTACGCCTATTGAGTATTCCTTCCTTCTAAGAGAGAGAGTGAGTGAGAGACGGGTAGTGATTAATGCGCAAATGCAAAAAGAGGAGAAGCTAGTTCAATTAAATTCTCTTGAATCCCGCATTGAACTGAAACATTGCATCTGTGCCTATTAATTACTTTCTTTTGGTAATACAGTCGGGGATGGGAGTGATATGGTAAATTAATAGAAGGTTGTTTGAATCTTAGTTATCATCCGCGCACGTGCCTTCTACTTTTCCCTTGTCATTGCAGTTGACTGCCAATAAGCATGGCTTTTTATTTTCATGCCTGGAGCAGGTTTCTGCGTCCTATATATCAGTAATGCGCTATCGTGGACCCTTTTATTTGCCAACTCAAAGTCGTATACAGTTATTCATTCAACTTCTAAATTAGGATAAAGTAGCATAGTAGATTCAACTTCACCGTAATGGAGGCATTAACTTTGCATTGTGGGAACAGGTCCGCATTTTCTCGCTTTTGTTTTTTAATTTGTCGTTATGTATTAATTTTGCTATCATCAGCCTGCTAATTGTTGCTGAAATAAGGACGAAGAGTACATTTGGGGAGGATCATCAAGTTATATAATTACTGGCTTAATTTGGCAAACTTTGTGTTGAAGTTTTGTCAACTTACAGTTCTCCGGAAGTGTTCATGGTATGCTTGTAATTGGTGACAGACTACTTTTTTAACAGCTAAGTTGCCACAATCATCAAACACCAGCCTACTACCTTCTTTTTCACGACAGGACAGCACCCTTTCTATGGGCTACCACTGTGTTTTCTTTTCCAGCTAGTACACCAAAGTCAAATCAGGTTATGTTTAGCGATTTCTCTCCTATCATTTAATACTAAGTTAAAAGCTGTGCATGTGTGTATGACAGTGGTTCAGTAATGCCATTTTTTCTGCTTAAACATCCATAGAGCACCCATTCTTCCTCGGATCGTAGTAGCTTCCTGGTGTTTAGCAACCTTTTAACCCCTTTGTTTGTCAATCGTCGAGCTCTCATTTGATTTAATAATTTCGCTCTTCGCATCGGAAAATTAAGTTGATATACTCGGTTTGGTCAACAAGTCCCACTTTAACGACAATTCTCGTGTAGGAAACTCTAAAATGCTATAATTGAGCCTGTGAATTGGGAAATTATTGGCTGTCAACTTTCTATTTCTTCCTATTTCTGCTTAATATTATTGCAAACGGTCGTCGTCGTGTCGGTTAGAAATCAATTAAAATTTTTTTCGCTTCTTCAAAATCCATCCCTCCTATTTCGACATCCTCCCTCTAGACTTTATTTGCAGACGAACAAATTTTCATTCTCTACCTCGAAGCAATTGGCATTTCGAAAATGGGAGATCATGATTTCCATTTTGGTAATATTTAAATCACCGTTATCGATTGTATTATATTTCTTATAATTCATATTTATTTGTACCTATCCTATAGACAATGCATAAAGCTTCAGTTTTCCTCAGTTTTAGGCTACATATTTTTAATCCTTGCTTTGGTAAATTAAACAATTTATCATTCATTATTAAATTAACCAATTTGCTAGTCCATTACCACTGAAGTAATGAGAGTTAGTGAACAATTTACTTCGGTCCCAAATTTTGTTAAAGAATCTTCCTGGTTAACGTCTGAGGCTGTGGTAATTGAGACTTAATTAACAGCTTTGAGTTTTTTTTCATTAAATCATCTGGAGGGAAAGTGGTGGTTTAAAAAAACGTGACTCTACAAATATTTATTACTAACTATTTGCCACTTGTTCAACGAAATATTGCAAGTTATTTTAATTTCTCTGTTAACTTAAAATTCAATATTTCCAAGACCCTAAAAGTAATTATTTGAAAGTTTTGCGTTTCAATTGCACGCATTATCCGCACTCTCCACCCTCCTCCCTACTTTTCTCTATGTTGTTATCCAAATGCAATTAATATTTTTGTTTACCTTTTTCTCTATTTCTGCGATTTTTTTGGATATGTCCATTTATTTCAATGTTTGCTACATTTACTCTGGGCAATAGTTGAATCCGTGATGTTTACACTTGTCAATTACTCCATTTTCGCATGTTTTGCAAAATACATTGAATAGCCAGTATCATTTTTTATACGTCTGCAAACATTAGTTCATGTGCTTATTTGATGGTGTTTTCTCCAACTTACGTCTAGTTACTTTAAAAGGACGAATCTGTGAGCGTCCTCCAACAAAACACTTGACTTAACTGCTCCTCAATTTTCCGAAGCAGAAACTTTTAACTCTTAGCACCAACGCGTCTACATTTGTACCACGGGAATGGTTTGTGTATGTGGATGTTCTGCGTCGTTGCGAGCAGGTCTATTCTTTTATGTCTATAGATTTAATACTCAATAGTAAATTTAGAGTCAATAAGGCGATCCTATTGGGTTGGCAACTAAGTCATTGCCGTTTTTGTTGACAGATTCACTCTATACTTTCTTTTGTTTTGTTAACGTGGCCAGAGCATCTAACCTATATTTTTTTCTTACTGTATGGGCTTCTAGATTAATTAGCAAAAAAAGTTTTTTTGTTTAGTTCTTTAGTTCTGTTTTTATCCCAATTTAAAAATGAAAGAACAGGACGTGCACTTCCGACACATTTTATTGTATTACTTCCGAAAAGGCAAGAACGCATCGCAAGCACAAAAGAAGTTATGTGCCGTATATGGAGATGAAGCCTTAAAAGAAAGTCAGTGTCGAAATTGGTTTGAAATATTTCGTTCCGGTGATTTTTCACCGAAAAATTCACAACGATCTGGCCGCCCAGTCGAAGTGGGTGAAACCCATATCAAGGCCATTATCGATTCAAATCGCCACAGCACAACACGAGATATTGCAGAGCAGCTCAATGTGTCGCATACATACATTGAAAAAAAATGAAAAACCCTTGGTTATGTCAAGAAACTTGATTTATGGATCCCTCACCAGTTAAAGGAAATTCATTTGACACAACGGATTAGCATCTGTGATTCGCCGCTACTGAAACGCAATGAGAATGATCCATTTCTGAAGAACCTAAACAGTTACTGGCGACGAAAAGTGGATAGTTTATAACAATGTTACTCGCAAGAGATCATGGGTGAAGTAGCAAGATCAACCAGCCCAAACAGTGTCAAAAGCAGAGATTCAGCAAAAAAAGATTATGCTGTCAGTCTGGTGGGGGGATCACAAAGGAATTGTGTATTTTGAACTCATGCCGCAGAAACAAACGATAAATTCAAATGTGTATGTTGAAGAACTCGAAAAACTGAAGGATGCAATTGAAGATAAGCGGTCGGCATTATCAAATCGGAAGGGTGTTGTTTTCCATCATGATAACGCAAGGCCCCACACATCTTTGGTTACTCGGCAAAAATTATTGGAACTGGGTTGGGATATTTTGTCACACCCACCATATAGCCCTGACCTTGCGCCTTCGGATTACCATTTGTTTCGTTCCATGCAAAACTCTTTAAATGGTAAAATTTTTAACAACGCGGATGATGTCGGATCACACCTAATTCAGTTTTTTAATAGCAAAGACCAGGCATTTTACGAAGGGGGAATTTTTACTCTGCCAGAACGATGGAAAAAGGTCATCGACAAGATCGGCCAATATCTAATTGAATAAAGTTATATTTTTAAACAAAAATTCCGAATGTGCCTTCTTATTTGAAATCGGCAATGACTTAGTTGCCAACCTAATACGTAGTATTTTATCTGGTCAGCAACTTAGTTATACTAGATGTAATGAGGATAATTCTGTTTTAAGAGTGACTATTGCAAAAAAACACTTCTCGCTTTTATTTATGGCACTCACTCACTTCCTTTCGCATTCAGTTAAATTTAGCTCAACCAATGCTCACAGTCTATTTCTTTACACTTTTGCTGTCTCAAACTTTTGCATCAATTCCCTTGTGTTTGCTTTGAACAAAAAGCGTTATATTGTCAATTAAATTCCTTTGTGTCCACTAATTTCCCCAGGTCTTCGTTTGAATTCTGCTCAATGCTTCATTGTCTTTTGTTTATAAGCATACGTTCTACCATAATAGGCGATTTGAAGTTGGGGGTTAGAGACTGGGCACATGAATCCACGCTGTTCGACTATTCAGAAATATATCATTATATCTTTGTCCGGATCAGGCTATTGTAAGTAAGGTTATTAGTATACTACTGCCAAGGTGCTGGGTACTCCCCATTCCATTTAGGATAAAGTTCCATCTTGATTAGATTGCTGGGGTCACGACGTTTCTCTCTTGCAAAACTTAGGTTTTGCCACTCCTTGTCAGACAGACTTACTATATGACGTTGGCCCTTTACTTGGTGGGTGTAAATAGTCATCGAACCCGTGACCTCCAACTCCCTAATCAATCGCAGTAATATTTTAATCGCCAGTATAATTACTGTCCGTGTAATTCGGCTGATTCGCTTGCTTTAAGTTGTTACAATAATCAGCGCACAATGAGTACACGACTAGACTTCCAATCCTTCTCGTGGGAGATTGATCCCAAGATTTGCGGCAAAAAGATTTTTGAATTCTCTTTCTCTTGAAAAACATTTGTCAATTTTTAACGGTCCGCTGAACAGCAGATAAATAGAAGAGACCGGAATAGGAATAGTTCCTAATGAAATGCGTGTTTTATTTGTTGGCATCCTTTAATATTTGAATTTAGTGAAAAAAAATTGAGTTAGCACCAAATTTTGCCTCTGTGTAAAATAGCTTATTATTAATGTTCAAGTCTTAAATAAAAAATAAATCTATTTTAACACCTCTCAAAAGATTAGCAGAACATATTTTCTAGAATTCCTACTCCTTCTGTGTTTACACCAACCGATAACCTTAACTAGTTGCTGCTTTCGTGGACTTGCGTGTATTTGTTTAGCACTTCGAAATTAAGTAGTTTTATTTTAATTTAATTGACTAAGAGCCTTTACTTATTATTTCTTGCTATTTGTATATACTTTCCATATTGATCATTGCACATTGAGAAGTTCTGACTATCAGATGGTTCAGTATAAATCATTTTTGCTTCCAGCTCCACCTCACTGACTTTTTATTCCAACGCGAGCGCGTAGCCGAAGAATCTGGGACTGCAGTAAAGGAGAAGAGTGAAGCTGGAAACCTCTGGGTTGGGATCTTTATTCATCTCGCCGACTTAGTTCGAGATCGAAGACCCGCTGTGCGCAAATCAGCTGGTCAGACACTCTTCAACGCTGTTGAGTGCCACAGCGCTCAATTCCTTCCTGAAACATGGTCCGAGCTTCTATGGACGGTATGTGGTGCTTATATTAACATATTTTTGGTGACTATTCATTTTGGTAGCCTTCATATTGATGATATTAAGCACTCAACCAATGACTAGATTTATTACTAAATCTGGTTGAGGCTGATCTAAACAAGGAATGAGTGTTGGCAAATTCTTCATTCAACCTGAAATATTCATTTTATGACCCTTTTGCCCTCTTAATTTATTCATTGCAGATGCAGGCCTTATGAGCCATTTTATCGTTTTAATTATAACCAAACTAAAGGTAGTCTTTGTAAAACGGGTAGAGATTGTAATAGAATGCGTCATAAACTGAATTCTGTGGATGATAAAAGATTTCTAGAAAAATTTTGAATTTAAACTTAAGAGTGTAATATCTAGGCTAAATTAATTCGTTGAGAATTGTTTAACTGTCCTGAATAGTCTTTGAACCCTTTAAGTTAGTAAGAGAAATTGATCTTGTTTGACTTACTTTGTATGGCTTACTTGGCAAGCAAATTTTCTGGCAGTAAAGTGGCCGTCTCTGAATTGCGGAGGAAAAGAACGTTTCCATGTGGTGAAGATTATAATAAACTGATTTTTGTCCAAATGGCTTAGGCTTCCTCGATTTGCTTTCACCTTCACTACTTTCTCCTAAGGAGTCAGTCATCTAATTCCAGACAAAACAGAAACCGCAAATGATTGCAGATGTATGGTTAATGTATGTAGGGTCCTCTTAAAATTGTGTGTCCAATCTATGACATCTGTTCCTTTAATTACGCCTTATCAATATCGAATACCCAAGTACCATTTCCTGGTATTAGGGTTACCGTTTTTCCTTTTCTGTGTTAAAAGTTGGGAAACCACCAATTTTTACTATCTTTGAATCGGTAATTTAATTTGTGCTTTCGCAGTTCTTTGTTTTGTTATGCTTTTTTTCATATCAGTATTGAGCAGTAATCGTTGAAAATTTGATAAAAATACTTTGTGATTAGTGCAAAATATAATTAAAATGTTTCATTTTATTTAATGCTCTCTGATCTAGTCATGGATTTTTGTGACATTATATCTGCAATAAGAAATATATTTTGGCAAAAATAATGATTAATCCTTATAAAGCGTACTTTATCGTAGGACCAAATAGTTTTTTTCGAACTGTTATCTTTTGGTTTAACTATGAAAAAAATTTAAAAAATGCAAGAATTTTACTTACGTATTCACACATGCACGGCAAACGGAAAGTTAAATCATATGGGACTAATTTCTTCATACTGTCTAAATTATTACCAGTCATCTAGTTGCTAGGAGAGTGATGTTAATGGACAGTTTTCAAGATTTGGATCAGAAGGTCGTCCTTATTATAGTGCTGAATATTTTGAATTGTTGTCAGGTGTTGTCAAATCTCTTTAAATGCAAAATAGCTCATATTCTTGTATATTTGAAAATACAAACTGTATGATATTAGTTCCTGTCTTTCGGATAAGAAGGCAATTAATAATATTGAAATTTGTGTTTACGACTTTCTTATTTCTTTAGCATTTAATGCATATTCGATGCATTTAGGAAATATTTTAAAGCACAATTGACAAGTCTCACTGTGTTTGAGCCTTTACGCAAATACCTTAGATATGAAGGTGATGTTTTAATTAGAACACTCATCATTATTTTCGGTAATAAGTTGATATCGTGTGGTTGCTTTAGGTTTTCTTCCCACTTCTCTCTGACGTCCAGGAGAAGTGTGCTCGAGCCCCAGTTGAGAAGGAAGGTGGGGCTGCAGGAGGCAGCGGTGGTGGTGGTGGTGGTGGAGGTGCTCTTCTGGTTCACCACTCCCGGGACACTGCAGCGAAACAGTGGGCTGAGACTGTAGTACTCACACTCTCCGGTGTCGCACGATGCTTTGTCTCAAAACAATCACAACTTCTTGCTTTGGGTAAGCATTCCAACTATCTTATTTGCTAGGCTGTGTAGCGCTCTCTTCCGTAGTCCAATACCAAAAGTGGGGTATCTCGATTGTGATAGGATATTTTGAAGGTCGAGTGTAACTGATCATCTGCTCTTTTGGCCAGGTAATCCAGTCAGTCGACAACCAGTTTCCTGGGTTGGTGTTAATGAAATTTGAAATATAATAAGATGAGATTTCTTTAATGGGTTTATGAGAAGTAGAAGGCTTTATGTCAAAACTATTTGTCCTGACACCGTAATTGTCTCAGATGATTGGGTGGATAAACTGTAAATCGTAAATGTTAGTTCACCGTAAAAAAGATCCATTGTTTTAATTCATAATCTACCCGATTGGCTGATTTGCAATACGCTGATCAAGGTCCATTTCGATAGACTTAGAAACAATTCGCGTTCCCTATTTTATGTAAACTAATTTAATCATTTTAGGTCCTATATTGGCGCTTAAATTAGTATTTATTTTTCCATGCATGCAGCAAGAATGCAAAAGTGCAATCAAGTCTTGGTTTCCCTATTGTAAAACGGTCATGAGTTATTATTTACCCATTTATATGACCATTTCATGCAGATGCTTTTAAAGTGCATACTTGCTTTGACTTTTAATACTTGCGCCTGCCTAGTTGCAGCTGTTAGAGGTACAGATGAGTTCAATGAATATTTCACTTCAACCGAATTGGCTATTCTAGTATTACGCTAGGTACTAACATCAGCTGAGCCTCTATGCTAGCCATTTGTGTTTACGAAGGCTGTATGACTCCAAATTTTTATTCATCAATTGCTCCAGATTAAACGAGTGAATATTTAGCCTAAAAATCGGAGGCCCCTTTAGATGGACATGGGAACTGAGCAATTTTGCTTTCAATATAACCCAGAATGACTTAGGGGAGGCTGGGAAGAGGTGGGGATTAAACCAACACAATAAGCGCGCTTTCTACAATTTAGCGTGGCCTAAAAAGGCAAAACTGTACTTTCTCACTCATCCACCTATCCCACCACGTTTGTTCGTTTCCCACTGTTGTTATGGTTATTATTTCTGTCATTACTGTTGTATTAAAATCATGTGAACAAGCTACCCAGTGGTTTGGTCGGATGTAGTTGTGCTTTCTCATGGCCACAAAATCGGAATTTTTCTTTTGGGTGCGTTGTATTTATATTTTGAGTTGGAATGGGCGTTGTGCTGATGTGTAGGCTGTTGCGAACAATGGCGTATGTGTGTGGACAAAATAATAATCGAAGTTGTACTTATTAAGATCGCTTTCCTGAGGCCTGGAAATATCTGTTAAGCAATGCAGAGCTTGCAGTTCTCACTGCCAACTCCGAAATTGCTCAGAATGCACTGCTCACTCTTCGAATACTACTGGATTTCGACACAAGAGAATGCTCTGCCGAAATTGCTACCTCAACTTGGTTAACATTTTGGCGAAACTGGGTCTCTATAGGTCGGAGCTTTGTTGAATACTTTGACACTTTAACGAGTGCTGTGCCTAAGGAAGATGTGCCGAAACAGCAACAACACCAAGGAGCAGCAACGCGAAAGGCGGTAAGCAACATTAGTCTCTAATAAACATTGAAATATGTTAAATGTGCTGCAATTTGTTTCATTTAGGGCACCAATACCTTCGGTACAGAGTTCTTTTCGCTGTACTTTGATCTTTTTCCACCTCTCTTTCCGCGAATTGAGTCGAAGTTCATTGAAAGCTCCTTCTTTGCTGAATTTGCTGAGATAGCTGCTCAAGGCGTCCTGGGCCCTCTATTTGTCACTCAACATCAGACTGCTTTGGCTCATTTGTCAAATGGTTCTACCTCTACTTCTTCAGCTACACCATCCTTCATGAATTCAATCACCCCTAATTTGGTGGATGAACAGGGACTCACTCAGACCCAGCGATCTGTTTTTAACTGTCTCTCGCTTATAGCTGAGGTAAGAGAAGGCTTCACTTGTTTATCTGCTCTTTCTGAGGGATAAATTTCATGTTTTCTTACTTGATTTCAGTCGATTAAGACAAGTGAGGCCAATCTTAAAAATCTTCTTGTTCCATTCCTTCAACTTCTGCTCCGACTCTCCCAATATGCAGTGTGGATTCCCCGACCTGGATCTAATACAAATCTGGTTAGTTGTGTTTTTGTTATGAGTTTGACTCTCCGATAGACGTCTTGTCTTATTTTCACTCTACCATTTAACCATTTGTTTCAACTAAATCATGTGAACAATTGTCATGCTCTGTCAACCATCGATAAAGATGTTTTGTGTTAACCTTTGTGCACTCGAATTAGCTTTCCATTCTTCTATCGTTGTCCAACATCTACGTTGTGTAATCCTCTTCATCCTCTATAATAGCACCGATTTTCACTGACAAATATTAATGACCTAAATGAGCCACCGGGTGGTTAGAACTGACTCTTCACAAGCTCTCAAAATTAGTTCATTTTTTTCGGGTTTATCGCCTAGGTACAGATTGTTCCTCTCATTATACCATTTACAGAGTTCCACCTGCTTGCATGCTTAGACTGAGGCAAGATGATGCCGAGGTCAAAGATGGTTTGTGAATGAAAGAAGAAATTAGTTTTAACTTTGCAAATATCGTGGATATAAAGCTCTGAGGGAGAACAGCTTAACCGTATATAAAGTGTTTGTTTAATATGTTGTTTTCTTTAATAATTTGTGAGGCATTTCATTGTTGCCTTCGCATAATTACACTTATTTGAGGTACGGCTGGAAGTAAATCATGGTCTTATTTAATAAATAGATTTTCATGCCTGACCTATCTATGACTATTTATCTCGTCCTCCTATTTAAATGTCTTTAATATTTAAAGCTACTTCATGTATATTCTATTCGTCTTTATGGACTCTTGCTTTACTGGGTTCCAGACTAGAATAATTTGATTAGTGCCATTATCGCTATTATTTCCACCTGTATGCAGATTCCAATGAGATAATTTTAAAATATCAGTGAGAAAATGTTTCCTTATTCGCTTTTTCACTTTGAATGTGCTCTTGACTTTGTCCAATTGCTGTAATTGACTTTACCATCGGGCTCTAATTGTAAATCACCACGACCGCTCTCTCTCTCCCTAATTTATCCAACGCCTTTATTTATAAATGGACTTTGCTTCCATATTGACCTGTACTACTATCATATTGTCTTGTTTTCTTTCTAGTGTTCTATTAGTCCGTGCAAAATCGAATTCCACCGACTATGTGAACGTATTTCCTGCATCTGCCTTTAGAATGCATTTTCGATGTCTTTTAATAATACCTAAGACCGTTACACCTCTCTCCCCTCTACTCTTCATTTGTCTGGGCTTATTTCATGACCGCTTTTTGTGTTTGATTTTGAATTTTAACACACAATCGGTAAAAGTCTACCTGTCTAAAAGCCACGTGATCAGACGTCTAACTAGCATTCTTTTTAACATTTTAGCTCTTATTACACTTCCGAACTCATGTAATAAATGTTCAAGTGGAATATTTTCGATTCGCAGAGTTGAATTGGACGGAATTTATTCCTTGGGAGCTAGATTATGCGATAGCCATTCTTCCTTTCTCTTCACTGTGCTAATACTCAATGATTAATTTATCCGAGCACTCTTTATTTAAGCTGCCTATATGGAGGGCATATTTTTTGTTAAGAACTACTCTAATCTTTCACAGGCAATATTTTCTAGTTTTCACCTCAGGCAGACAATATAAGCATTCTGTTTTTTTCCAGGTGGAGGCCATACCAATGAACTACATAATCTTTGCCGAAAAGTGTATGGAACTTGCCACTGATCTCTATAAGACTTTCGCCGATTCGGATGTCCTCAATAACACCAATGGGTTACTTATAATTATTGAGGTAAGACTCAACTTATACTTGGTAGATGAATGATATGACTAACCAAAGACGTTAACGAGAGTGTTTTTACAACTCTTAGCTTTGCTAAAGAATGATATTTTGGGACCTCCCTATATTTATCGGACTTAAAATGTATAGTTAAACATTACAATCCACTTGGTGTGGGTCGGTGGGAATGAAGCTCGCTATGTCACTCATTACGAACGTACTTGGTGACCAACACACACTGTCAGCTTGTTATTAAAAGTTTCCAGATAATGGGGTACTACAAATGGAAGATAAGTGTCTCAAGCGGAACTGCCAACTGTATTGCTTTCTCACCGGGAGTTTTCTGAAATTAAAAACCTCTTTTCTATTTGGGCTTGTCAGTTATCCTCCTAAAATTTGAGCAAATTTCCCACCTCCTGATGACTTTCTAGTATTTCACATGTGCAAATCCTGCCAATCCCAAATAAATCATAAGTCTCCGCGGCATTTTGTTTAATATTACTTAATTTTGATTATGTGGGGATTTCTGGTATTGAATTCCTTCGAGATTCGGAATTAGAATTCCATTACTTGATAACTGACAGAGAACTGATTATGAAAAATTTATATTCCAACCCCAAGGGGAGTGGAATTTCTATTAAAAAGCGGAGAGAGTATTTCGCTAGAAATAAGGTTTTGAAGTGGATTATTTTTTTATTATGGAAAAGTGAATCAAATCCATTAGCTATAATCTCTTTCATATATTAGCATTTAGCTGTGTTCATTTAATGCTTTTTTTAATGCCAGACTTTCTAAGCTTCTCATATCATTATTATTTGTATATCATTCGAAACGCAGTTCCTTTTGGGTCAATAATAGTCTCTTATAAAGATATAAGATTATCTTATCCAAGTTTGTGTAATTATGTGGGTTTAAAATTCCCTTACAAAAATCATTATTTTGTATTCACCTCTCCCGTACCGCAACGAGTTGATAAGAGTTGGGCGAATTTTGCCTCTTTTTTACTCATTCGTAGGCATTACGGATCCCGCTTGCTGCCAAGTACAAGTGTCAATGTCGGTCCACGTGGTTGCTCGCTAGCAAGTGCTTCATCGAGTCCATTTCTGTTGGAATGTCAATTGCTACCAAGCAAAAGTCCAATCTCCCCCAAGCCAACTCAAATGGTGCGTTTATTTTCGTTGCCAAGTGTCTGGACTTCTTCCAATAGGTGAATTATTTGATGCATATATATTTAAGGCTCTGCGCTCATAGTATGGCCTTTGGAGTCACAGTGAATAAGACAAATTCTTTTCGTTTTAAAATTGGTAGTAAGATCATTTCATATATTTACTGTGGTATTCCTTTAAAAAAACCTACGGAAGTCACCACTGGCAAATAATCCCACTTCCATCTCTCTAATGAAATACAACCATCTATCATGCAAAAGGTGGTACCCTGGCTTTTTTTCGTCAATCTTTATAACTTATATGGAACGTGAGTCTTATTTCCACCAGTATAGTTGGTCCCAGCAAGCAATTCTACAATACCAAATGCTACGAATCTCAATACGTATCCGTTCAAGTCCAGCTAATTACATGACCTCAAGTACTGCTTAGTATTAGCCATTATTACATTTCTCTTCCCCAGGATCAATGTTGAAAAGATACCACTTTAGTGAGTTCGTCTAGAGCTCTTTTTTTTGCTTACTTGTGCAATAGCAGAAAGGGAGATAGAAATGATTAATAAGCGTTCGATATTCTAGTTAACGTTTATATTAGTACAAATTAGATTTATTAAAAAGATGTTTTCGAAAATATTTGTCGCACTAAATATGGTCAGTGACAGTGGGGATGCGAATATCTATTGGATTCTTCACCTTAATTACTTCGATTGCTGTTAGTTAGGTTAATGGTTTAATTATTCATATTTGGCATTAGATAAAACGTGCTAAGATAATAATGGTCTTATGGCAACTCCCGAATTCGATTTTTTAAAACAGTGCCACCACTCCTTTCCCTACTAAGATTGGAAGTCAGCAGTCCATTTTCGCATGAAATATCTTTCTTCTATCCAATTTCAGGCGCAGACTTGTTCACACGAATGCCTTTAGGCCATGTGTTAAGGAATGCTTTTGAAAAGTGATTAAAGGTTACCCATTTCACCTCCTATAGTCACTAAAACTATAAATCTTTGGTGTATTAATTGTGGGTTACAGCTATTACTTCCTACGACTAAATGGAATGTCTACAACGTCCGTAGTTCTTGAAATTGCTAAAACCCCTTCCTCAAGACAACTGGAATACCTGTTCTTATGGAATTAAAGTTAGAAATCAAAAGACAGCGTTAAAGCATAAGCAAGTGCATGCAAATACGGTATTTCCTTCAGTGTACATATCTTCAATGATTTTAGCATAATCTATAATCAGAAGTAGGATGTTCTATTAGGTTGGCAACTAAGTCATTGCCGATTTCAAATAAGAAGGCACATTCGGAATTTTTGTTTAAAAATATAACTTTATTCAATTAGATATTGGCCGATCTTGTCGATGACCTTTTTCCATCGTTCTGGCAGAGTAAAAATTCCCCCTTCGTAAAATGCCTGGTCTTTGCTATTAAAAAACTGAATTAGGTGTGATCCGACATCATCCGCGTTGTTAAAAATTTTACCATTTAAAGAGTTTTGCATGGAACGAAACAAATGGTAATCCGAAGGCGCAAGGTCAGGGCTATATGGTGGGTGTGACAAAATATCCCAACCCAGTTCCAATAATTTTTGCCGAGTAACCAAAGATGTGTGGGGCCTTGCGTTATCATGATGGAAAACAACACCCTTCCGATTTGATAATGCCGACCGCTTATCTTCAATTGCATCCTTCAGTTTTTCGAGTTCTTCAACATACACATTTGAATTTATCGTTTGTTTCTGCGGCATGAGTTCAAAATACACAATTCCTTTGTGATCCCCCCACCAGACTGACAGCATAATCTTTTTTTGCTGAATCTCTGCTTTTGACACTGTTTGGGCTGGTTGATCTTGCTACTTCACCCATGATCTCTTGCGGGTAACATTGTTATAAACTATCCACTTTTCGTCGCCAGTAACTAGGTTCTTCAGAAATGGATCATTCTCATTGCGTTTCAGTAGCGGCGAATCACAGATGCTAATCCGTTGCGTCAAATGAATTTCCTTTAACTGGTGAGGGATCCAT